CTACCTCCTCCTCCTCCTCCTCCTCCTCCTCCTCCTCCTCCTCCTCCTCCTTTATCTCTCCTCCTCCCTCCCTCCCTTCCCTCCCTCCCTCCCTTCCCCCCTCCCTCCCTTTCCTTTGTCTTCCTCTCCCCTGCCCCCTTCCCTCTCCCTCCTTCTCCCTCACCCAGAGCGCGCAGGGGTCACATCGCTGCCATCGAAAAGCTGTCTTCAGGCTTCACAGGAGCAGAGGCCTACAACCTCGGCACCGGCGTCGGCGTGACTGTGCTGGAGATGGTGGAGGCGTTTCAGCAGGCCAGCAGCTCCCCCGTGCCCTACACCATCGAGGGAAGAAGACCAGGGGATGTCGCCATCTGCTACGCAGACCCGTCCAAGGTAGGAGGAGCTGGAGCTGGAGGAGGAGGAGCTGCAGACCAGTAGCGGAGGGAGCAGGTGGAGAGGGAGGAGGAGGAGAAGCAAGAGTAGAAGCAAGAGCAACAGGAGGAGGGGGAGGAGCAGGAGGACAGGGATAGGGAGGAGGAACTGACGGTGTGCCGGAAGGCTCAAGGAGACCTCAAGTGGAGGGCGGAACACTCGCTTGCCGACATGTGCAGAGACGTCTGGAGGTGGACAACCAAGAATCCGGATGGATACAGCACGGGGGTGAAGGAGGAGCTGCTAAGGTAGAGGAGGAGGAGGAGGAGGAGGATGGGGGGTGAGAAAGGAGGAGGGGCTGGAATGAAGAGAGAGGAGAAGGAGAGATGAAAACAGGTATCTGACACACTCGCAGGGGCATTAGGGATGAAAAGACAGTGAAGAAGGTGGAGGAAAAGTTGGCAGCTCCTGCGGCGAGGGATTGAAATGTGATGGCGCTTATGATCACATGGGGGGGAGGGGAGCAAAAGGAGCGAGGAGGAGGAGAGAGAAAGGGTACTTGGGAGGAGGTAAAGGAGGTTGTAAGTTCTGGATAGTTTAAAGGATATGATCAATGCTCCTCCTGCTCCTCCTCTCACTCACTTTGTCTCCTCCTCCTTCCCCGTGTTCTCTCTCTCTCCCTCCTCCTCCTCCTCCCACTCCTCCTCCTCCCACTCCTCCTCCTCGTATACCTCGGGTCTCACAGGCAACTGGCCGTAGAAAGTGCCGATGATGGTCACCAGCACGTTCACTGCACTGACCTCTTCCTCCTCTCCCCTCATCCCCCTCCTCACCCTGCACAACGTCTTCACGATGCTCCTTAGCGCCGCCAGCGTGTCAGCGTCGCAGGGCTTCTCAACAAACACCAGCATGGCAAACAGCCAGGCGCCTCCTCGCCCTCGCAGCAGGCGCCTCCTCGCCTCTTCCTCTTCCACCCCCTCAAGGAAGGAAGAGAAGGCCCACAGCATCCTCAGCAGACTTCGAGCATCGAGGAACAGCATCTGCTTCAGTGAAGGCTCCTCTCCCTCCTCCTCGTGGCACTTGGCTGCCCAACCTTCCTCTGCCGTTACAAGTGGAGGCATCGGCTTCCAGCCTGCCGTGCCCCTCCTCTCCTCCCTCTTCCCATCCACAATCTCGTGCAGCCGCGTGAAGTAGCGCAGGTAGACTCGCTCCCAGCGGACGGACGGTATGAGTTCCTCCCTGCATGACGCAAAGTCGTCTTGCGCTGTTACCTCTACAGCTCCTGGCGAAGCAGACATCAGGGAGGGACAATGATGAGAAGGCAAGGAGATCAGGAGAGGAGAGGAGAGGGGAAGAGAGGGGGGAGAGGAGAGGAGAGGAGAGGAGAGGGGAAGAGAGGGGGGAGAGGAGAGGAGAGGAGAGGAGAGGAGAGAAGAGGAGGGGAGGGGAGGGGAGGGAAGAGGAGAGGGAAGAGGGGAGGAGGAGAAAGCCCAACGTGACAATCCGAGAACATGTTGGAGGGGAAGGTTTTGGAAGTGAAGATGGTGGAGGAGTGGCGGTTGAACGAATATAGCAACGTGAGAGATTGACATTTAGCAAGGAAGGGGGGGAAGGAAGAAACGTCAGGCCATCTGAAAAGTGTCCAAGAAGTGGAGGGGGGGGGAAGTGATACAGGGAGGGAGGAGGTGATGGAGGGAGGGAGGGAGGTGATGGAGGGAGGGAGGGAGGGAGGGATTGAGAGGAGGAAGGATAGTCACCTTGTGCATAATGAGTATCTTGCTCTTTCCCCTGCTCCTGCATTCGCGGTCTTGTTATGATATCTCCCATTCTCTTGGCCTCCCTCCGAACCCTCCTGAGGTATTCTTGTGCAGTAGCAGCAGCAGTCCCCTCCTGCTCCTCCTCCCAATCGTCGTCTGAGTCATCCTGTTGCACAGAGTGACTCATGATCCTTCCCATCAAGCGAATAGAAGACGTGAAGAAGACCAACACACGTGCGGGCAAGAGGAGGGAAAGGAACAGAGCAAGAAAGAGGAAGGCAAGGTAAGAGCAAGAGCGAGGGGAGGGAGAGCATGGGGCGAGAGAGAGAGAGAGAGCGGCATGCGAGCATGTTCATCTCACTTCCACTTCCAACGCTCTCTGCGGCTCCAGCTCGTCCTCCTCCCTCTCCAACCTCATCCGGCTCGCCATTGCCGTAGCAGGTCCAAGAAGCGGGCCAACCCTTCCCTCCTCTCCGGCGGCCCGCAGGGCGGCCCGGGGCTGAGTGTACGGCCCTCGGACTGCCTCGGAGGATTCAACTTTGACCAAAATTGGCAATGCTTCAGCATCGTTTATTGAGTACAACTTGGCAACAAGCAGAGTAGAAGATTAGACCGACCAACGTTCGACTTCTGATCTCGCGCGCCGGCTACCTCGCTCTACCCCACGAGGACAGCTGCCACATAAAGAACCGCCGAGCCTAAGCAGAGCCAACCCACGTCTGCAGTAAAACACACGAGACAGCCCTCAATGCTTGGTCTGCCTCTTATGCAGGCTGTCTGTCTCGAACGCCAACACGTCCACCCGCGATACGATGTTGCGAAGGAGTCTCTTGCCTCCCCGATTCTCCGCAACGATGACGCAACCCATGTCGCCCGTGCGGCGGTCAGTGTATGCATTCAAGGCATCGGCAACTTCTTCAAGCGTTGCAGTTGGCTCCACAACAACAAACTAACAACTTCGTCAGCATGGAAAGATGAGGCGACAAGGCTGGCTTACCTTGGTAGACGCGAAAGGAAAGCAAGGAGAATCGAAGATGTCGGGCTTCTGGAGCATAACACGAGACAGAGAAGCCATGGAAAGCACTGCAAGCACTTCCTCTTCACCCTCGACACCACCCTGAGGAAAACCCAATTAGGCCACGAGACGATCAACATCATCTATCACCGGGAATGGCTGGACCACTGGGAGCTGATCAATGCCGTTGGCTTTCATGACATTCACTGCCACCGAGCAAGTCGTGTCAGCCTGGACAGTGATCGGCCTGCGAAGATCCGGAAGCTCCATGATCGTCTTTCTCATCCATTCGTGACTGCATCAGCACCAGTGAGGCAGGAAGCTGCAGACATTATTTCACTCACGGGTCCTCCTCGCCATCACCCTTGGGCATGGGAGGTTCCATCTCGTGGTGCACGACAGATCCGGGCTTCACGTATGTCAGTGCCTGTCACGTATCGAGTGAGACTCAACCCCTGCCTATCGCCAGCATCGACACCTGCTCGACGTCGGCGATAAGGTCTGCAGTGTCCTCGATACCACAAGCAAATCGGACCAAGCCATTTGTGATACTCAAGCGCTGTCTAACTTCCAGAGGCTGATCGTAGTAGCCTACAACTCTGACCTGTCATGCAGATCAACCTACAATCAACATTGCGCTCATAATACAAACCTGCTCAACAAGAGTCTCCACACCACCCAGCGAGGGTCCAATGTAAGGAATCTTGAGCGCATCAATAAATCTAAATGGAGATCGAAAAGTTATCCTCCACAGGAAAAGCAAATTTCTTGATACCTTGCTGTGGCATCGAAAGTGTCTTGTGACCAGGGATTGCCGTCACCACGGATTTCAAAAGACAAAACACCACCAAAGCCCTTGGCAAACATCGACTTGCGAGATGCAACTGCATGATCCCGATGGTGCGGAAGGACAGGATAATGAACTTTCTCAACGCACGGATGAGTGTCGAGAAATTTCGCCAAAGCCTCAGCAGTTCGATTTTGCTGTTCAACGCGCAGAGACAAGGTCTTCAATCCCCGGAGAACCATGTAAGCAGCATGCGGATCGCAGACACCACCCAGGACACCGTGCAACTTCCTGACTTTGTCAATGTACTCTTTCTTTCCAGCCAAAACTCCACACATCACGTCATTGTGACCGGCAAGGTACTTGGTACCACTGTGCAAGACCAGGTCGGATCCAATATCAATAGGCCTGTGGTTCACAGGGGTAGCAAAGGTTGTATCAATACAGCAAATGCAGTTGTGAGCCTTGCACAGCGCGGCAATCCTCTCAGTGTCGATCACCCTGCACAAGGGGTTGGTGATTTGCTCAGAGAAGAAGAGGGTAGCGCCCTGGGTTGACAGGATACGCTCCAACTCGTCAACATCAGCAGGATCAATCACAGTCAGCTTAACCCCCATCTTTGGCAAGACTGTTGTCACAAACTGTCTCGTACGACGATAGCAATCCGTAGTCGAGACGACATGTCCATTTTGATCCACGAGGGCCAACAACATGGTGGTAACAGCATTCATACCCGAAGATGAGACAAGAGCATCTTCAGCATTCTCAAGCGCCATGATCTTCTCTTCCAAGGCGCGCACAGTGGGATTACCATAGCGCCCATACTCGAATGACTCGTAAGTGCCCTCGTTGTATGCAACAATCTCAGCCGTGTTGCGAAATGTAAAAGTGGCTGTCTGCACGATAGGGGTTGCAAGAGCATCCAAGGTGGCTCGAGCCTTCATGCCACCCTTCTGTCTCTCCCCCCCATGCACAGCACGGGTGGATGGGCCTCCAACGTTGATCACAGCGTTCCTGTTATCGCCATTGAAGCGAGCAATGTTCGCTTGCATCTCATCCGATTCGGCCTTCCCCATCAGTCCAGGCTCGTCCTCCACACGCCCACTGTCTCTCTTGCTGATTTCGTCCAGAGGACCCGACATCTTTTTCTCTCTAGGCGCTCAAAACTTCCAATCTCAGCCTGTACCAACGAGTCACTCACCAGGGAAAACATGCACACTAGCCAAAGGCGGCAATACACCACTCATACAAGAAAGAATCTTTTCTATACTCCCCGCTACTTGATTCTACATGAATCATGCTCTAGCACGACACGTCCTTCCCCTCATTCTCGCCCAACAAATCACTTCAATCTCCAATGCGGCCGCCTGTTTCGCTGCCATTTCGCCAAGAGTGCAAAACCACATAAATCACTCAGAGCATGCTAAGAGCGGGGATCATGCTATAACTTGTTCATGGATCAGTCTGCGCTACTTCATTTTCTCCTCTCCTGCACCTTCCAGTTTGTCAACACCCAGCATGCCATTTTCCCCTCCCGCCATTTCCACAGAGGCGCACGCCAAGTTGCGATGGTTCGTGTTCTCAATGGGTTGGTAGAATCTGTCGATGTAATTTCAAACTTGTTTCTGTTTCGGTGAAATATTTTCATGTAGCCCACAAATCTGACTAGAGATGCAAGGCAAAATCAATCTGAAAACCCTGGCTTCCAGAGGGGTTCAGCGAAAAAAATGTTTTAATAACATTTCGGTATGAGTATTTCAAAATTATATTGTCGTATTTTATTTTGACTTGCAAATTTTATGTTATGTACATCGTATTTTCAATAGTACCAATGAAGTCCACCCTCTTTGAAATATTTTTCTCCGTTGTTTTGATGGTTCACTTGGCCTAAACCACGTTGACCCCTACCCCCATCCCCTTGTAAACTACCCCTGACACAGGACCCACCCCTATATAGCCCCACCCGTATCAGAACCGCAGTTTTGACTTGTTGCACCCCCTACTCATCCGTACATGACCCTACCTGGTCTACTTGCTTCCATGCCCAACAAAAAGTAGCAGTACCCCCACAACAATACCTTGGACCCACCCTGTTCATAATGTCTTCTTTTCATCTTTACCCCTACCCCCTCTCTTCTGTGACCTACCCCACCTCCTGTAGGACCTACCCCCTCAGATCCCTTCCTAACCACCCATAGCTTTGTCACTGGTTGTCACTACCCACCCCTGGGAAGTAAGTTTTTAACCCCTTCATTACTCAAAGTACCCACCGGGTCACCAGAATGAGACCCCTCGATATACCCCTACACCACAGGCGTAGACTAGACTCCCCCACCCCCACCACCTACCCCTTCGACCACCCTGTATGTATAGGACTATAGCACTCCGTCCAGTTTCAGATCCTATGATTTCCTAGGACCCAAGTTGGATGCACCTACGAACTATAATCATTTTAAGAATATTTTTAGATCAATCGCTTGATTTAAAACCATTTAATCAATAGGCCCTAAGGTATTCCTCGGACCTCCCTGCAACCTAGAGTTATTACCCTACCTTTGATGTTTTGAGGCCCTTGTGTATGTCTCTAGGACCTTCATAGAACAATACTAGGACCAAATCGTACCACAAGAATCACGTGCGGTGTAAAGGCTGCCGGTTACATAATTCCGAATTTCGGCCTCGGACCGGTACTTCTCCCCGACGGGTGGTGGGTACTAATAAACTTTGTTTACTCAAAGTTAAGTTAAGAATCAGTAGGAGGACAATCAGGAGTACAACTCACTGACTGAGCTACCGTTTGAGTAAAGTTACTCATACTATCGGATCATTCAGCGGACCCCCGGGGCGTCGGATCAACTTTCAGTTGAGGCCGGCGGGCCGCCACGAACACTGAAAAGTTCCGAAGTTGCCGTTGAAGTCGGCGATCGACTCGGGGGCCGGCCCGGCGAGTCCCGGGCCGCGGCGGAGTCGGCGGCGGCGCTGGCGAGCATCGGAGCGGCGCGCGACCGCAGCCGCGGCGCGGCGGCCCCCGTGGGCGGACCCCGGCCCCGGGAGGCTTACTAGTTACTAGTTACAGTCACTGAGGCGGCGCACTGTACGGTAAGCCTACTGCCCGGCTGCGATCATCGGATCGCGAGACACTCAGAGTAGTGACACTGTGACAACAAGATCGTGACTGAGACTGATATAATATAGTGACATCTTGAACTTGAACTTGTAAGTAGCCTACTTCAAGGCTAGTCGGACTCCGAAACATTGCTCTGGCAGGCTGATCGGACACGGGGGGCAGCAAGTTCCGAGCGGCTCGAGTCCGAGGCTCAGACTGACCGACGGACTGCCTGGGCCGCGCGGCCTGTCAGCACTGAGCCTGTACGGTCACGGTGCCTTATGATACTCAGGCTTCGTTGAGACCAAACTTCCACTTGAAAGCCCAGGACTTCTTCCAGCTCCCGCGTCCTCGTGGTGGGATCAGGTCCTTGTTGGGGCCTTCAGCCTTGTGTTTGCACGTGCCTGAGAAGAGGCCTCCACTCTTGTGGCTGCAGTGCCGGCAGTGCTCCTTGGCCTGGCTCAGGATCACCTGCTCCCGCAAGCCCATGAAGTTCTTGTGGGCGTTGTAAGCTGCGTCCTTGGGAAGGGTCACCCGGATGGGGAACATGGGCCCGTGACCGTGAATGACCACACTCCAAGCATGAAAGACCTTCTTCCCGACCTCGTTGGGCAACCGAATCTCCGGCGCGAGGCTCGGCCTGATGGTCTCGTTGGGCCGCCGGATCGTTCTCTTGAGGCTAGGGAGGTTCGGGCGCCACCACACCAGCAAGAAGATAGCGACGATGCTCTCCCTGCCAGCGAGTCAGCGAGAGGCAGCGACAGCTCTGTGCCCTCACAGTATCGCAGCGACAGCCGGAAGGATCCAAGCAAGCACGCAGGTCATTTTGGTGTCCTTTTCGCAGACGGCGGAGGGCTGGACGGAGGAGGAGGAGGAGCAGCTCTGCCAGGAACCTCAGGAGTCTCGTCACAGCATGCACATCACCTACAGTCGCCAAGTCCTTCGCCTTGGTAGCGTCGTCGCAGCACATGGCAAGCTCGAAGGGAGAGCAGGTGGGAGGGCTGGAAGACTGCGTCTGGCAGCTGAGGGCGGCTGACTGGATGCCCGTGATGGCAGTGCAGTGAGCCTGCGCTGCCAGCCCGACGAACGCAAGGAACCACACGAAGACGGTGACGCGGAACACGATCTTCTGCCATTTCAAGCTGATCTCTCCGACCAGGAACCATTGCTTCCAGGCCTCTCGCTTCATCCTCTTCCCCGTGGGATGGATGGGGCGGAGACCGTAGATCGCCATGGGGCCTGCGATGAAAGCCTGCACTATCTGCACGATGAGTGTATTTACAAGGCTGACAAAAGAGAAGTCAGCGTCAAGAGACAGACATCACGGTGATGGAATACTCACTTGTTGTTGATTCCTGCGTTGGGGGCGCGGGCTTCTGGGCTTGCGACGGTGTTGGACTGGAGTGCTGCGCAGACCCACAGCAAGGCAATGAACACAAGATGAGCGGGCAGGAAAAGGAACACGGTTTCATGCTTGAAACCAAGTCCAAGAACGTTCTCTTGGAAGCTCCAGTGGCTGAGGGTCCGGATCCATTCTGACATGAAGTAGCTTGACTGATCAGCTTGGTTCTTGTAGGAGCTGACCACCTTCATCTTCTTCTTTTCCTTCTCCATTTCAATAGGGTCTGACAGTTTCACGCTCACTGCGTCGCCCCCGCCATCCTCGCTGTCCTGAATCTTCTCAGCCTTCTGAGCAAAGAGCTCCACCATCTTGATGTTGGAGGACATACTCTTGGTCAGCCGCTTCAGGCTCTCAATGTAAGGCTCCTCCACCTCACGCCACTTGCTGACCACCATGCGGTTGCAGTCGTGGATGTTGAAGCCGATGACCTGGTTCTCTTTGATCGCCTCGCAGTACTCCATGCCAAGGTTCAAGGTCTCAGGATACATGTTGGTGATTGTGGCATTCTCTTCGTTGGAGGCTGTGCTGCTCGCCTGCAGCGCCTCTTTGAACTTGGACAGAACTTGAGAAAGCTGAATGTATCCACCAGTGTCGAACACCACAGCAGCCGAGATTTGGGTGTTACCCTGGTTCATCTCAAACACGACCCACTGATGTCCCGGATATGACTGGAGCTCTACGGGCTCACTCGGCTCGACCACTGCCGACGGCACAAATCTTCCCTTGAAGTCAACCCAAGCAAGTATAAGCTTGTTTGATGTATCGTTGAGAGCCCTAACTTTGAACTGGGAAGATTTCAAGCATGGTGACGAGCACTTGCTCTTCGGGAGGCTGAAGGTAGCCGTAGACATAGTCGATGCCAGCAAGGCTTCCGGGTTGATACCGAACTGATCCAATGGATGCGGCGCCATCTTGAAATGAAAGCGCTAGAGCAGCGATGGCTGTTTCCTGGACTGACAAGGAGGGAGGGAGAGAGGGATGGAGGGAGGAGGCAAACAGGCTGTAGGGCTGCGGGAGGGCGGAAGCCGCGGAGGGGAGGGGAGGGCAGGGGAGGGGAGGGAAGAGCTGGGGCCGTGCGGGTATTTGAATCTGATTGCAACAAGAACTCAGTACCCCTTTACCCCTCAAATCTACTAAAAAGTACCGGTAGGACCCACCTCCACAAAAAGTTAACGCGCCGCATGTGCCTACTCGCTCGCCCTCGGATGGACCCCTCTACCCCCCATTCCTCCCTTATACCACCCACCCCTCTCAAAGAGTTAATCGGCGATTGCCCCATTTTCGGTTGGCCCCCTCCAGTACCTGTAAGTTCAGTCAACTTCCAGGGTTCCCAGTTGTGTCATCGCCCTCATACCCAACATCCTCGCTCCGTTACCGGCTCCGTTATTCAGGGCAGTGCTGCCGTTATTCCTCAGCGGCCGTTAAGGTACAACGGTATTGGCAGTTATTGCCGGACAGTTACTTCGTGACGGCGCCGCGGCAGTCGGAAGTGAGTCGGACGGTCGGACTCGAGCTTCCGGAGCTTCCGGGTTGACTCAGTGACTCGCCACTAGTCACTAGTGTCACAGGCAGTACTGAGCTCTCAGAGCTACGGTACTACTAGCCTACTAGGCTAGGTGCTTGGTATCACATCAAGTTGAAACCTGGTATCGAACTGGTATCAAACAGCTTCTGGGTGGACTGAGGCAGGGACTGAGGGCGATGAGTTAAGGGACGGAGGGCGATGATCTCCGCAGCGTTCAGTTTACTTTAGACTGAGACGTGCGGTCGCTATGACGCGCGGAGCTCCTGGAAAGTCTCGAGAGCCTTGGCGAGAGCCTGAGCGAACAATGAGAGGAGAGAGGAGGAGAGGAGAGGAAAGGAGAGGAGGAGGGAGAGGAGGAGGGGAGGGGAGGAGGGGAGGGAGGGGGGGAGGGGAGAGGAGAGGGGGAGGCGAGGAGGAGGGAGAGAGGAGGAGGGGAGGGGAGGAGGAGGAGGAAGGAAGGAGGAGGAGGGAGGAGGGAGGAGGGAAAGGG